CAAATGAGAATCGCTAAAATTACTGCATATATCTTGAGAGAAAGGTCTTCTTTGTGATTTTCAGTTTTGTTTTAGATAATTAAAGCAACAGTTTTTAAATAACGAAAGAATATGTAAAAGTATGGTATTTTAGCCCCCTGCTGTTGGGGCTAAAGGCGCACAGTAATTAACATGATAATTAATAGATGGCTGACTTTTCCATTTGTTGACATGACATGGTTAGATTGCTTTGTGTTTTATCGCCGACAGCGTTTCTTTTGCTTTCTGCTGTGTGGAGTTTGTGCCTCCAGGTGTCTTTACTCTCTGAAGTCGCACAAGATGACTTCTAAGGATGTTTTTGAAGTTGTGCATGCAAAACCTGTTGGTTACAGCTTGTTTTTTTTAATCTTGAAAAAGCATAATTATTCATGAGTGTGTTTGCACAATGTTTGCCTGCTGATAGAATGCGTGTGTTTGGTTCCTGATGCTCAGATGAGGAGATTTAGTCAATGCAATGCAATATCTAATTCAACATGCAATGAGCCCCGGGGTAAAAGGCGCCTTTGATATTATGTTCATCTAAACCACTAGATGGCACAAAAACGTGGCGTAGCACTTTCCAACACATCGCTTTTCAAGATGCACGTTTATTTGTCTGATCCTTGACGCGATCGCGCGCAGCAGCGCAAAGTTTATTCTGTGCTTACTTGATCTAATATTTGATGTTTTTTTAAAGTGTTGTAGATTTAAGTAGCAAATGAGAATCGCTAAAATTAATGCATATATTTTGAGACAAAGGTCTTCATGATTTTCAGTTTGGTTTAAGATAATTAAAGCAACAGTTTTTGCTTTTTTTTAAAGACACATCTCTTTGGCCAAGCATTCAAATAATGCATCTCATAATCTTGAACTGCAGTTATATCTGATCAAATGCGCATTATTATTCTTTAGCTTGGGCTAAACACTATGGTATTTGGGGTAAAATGCACCCCTGCTGTTGGGGCTAAAGGCACAGTAATTAACATGATAATTAATAGATGGCTAACTTTTCCATTTGTTGATATGACATGGTTAGATTCAGATGGTAAATATCATATAATATGTTGGGTGTCCATATTAGAGACAATCACCATGTTTAGAATTAAACCATCATATTTAAAAACATGATATTAATCATATCATATAATAAAATATAATTTGTTGTTACTGCTGTAAATATATATTCAATTATTATTGGATCTCCTTCAATACTTTCAGAATCTTTACTTATTAAAATGATTTTGATTCTGTATTATATTTTTTATAATAACATTTTAATGACCGTATATTTATTGAACAAATTAATTCCTTTATTTTTCAAAATAAGCAGAAACTAGTACAAACTTTGCTGAAGTGATTGTTTTGAACAAGTATTAACTAGACATTACTTAAAAAACATTATTTTAGCTGAAGCATTTGTATCAATACCGTGGGCCTTTTACCCCATGCTGGTGGGCCTTTTACCCCGTGTGTGGGGTAAAAGGCCCCCCTTGCCACCTCATACATTTATAAGATTTTTAAACAAAATACAACGTATATATTTTTTCTGCAATTATACATTTTAGGCGCAGTGACTACCAATGTTATCAGTGGCGTGCACAGCCCTCCGGAGGGGCAGGGGCAGGCCCGGACTGGCCATCGGGAGCACCGGGAAAATTCCCGGTGGCCTGGCGGCTGATTTGGCCCGCTGCCCTGTTTTTATTTTTTTTTTAGCTGGTTATTATTATTATTAATATTTTATATTTATGCCTTCTCAATGTACCAAAGTGATCATTTCCGTTTTTGTCATAGTTGAGTATTAAACTGCTAGTAGGCTATCTGTTAGGCTATCAGCAGCAACCCATTATTATCATCATTCAGAATACGGTGCTAAAGGACATCAATATCGACTGTAATGTTACATTCAAAAATTTAGCAGAGACAGATATTCACATGGATTTATTGTACAGGGAGGGAAGGTGCTAGAGCAGACAGTAACACAAAAATAATATGAGTCACAGCCTAATAATTCAATAGTGTGTTCAGTATTAGAATTTTTCAACAAATATATTGTACTAATTTTGACACTTAGGCACTTCAGAAATTGTGTGTTAATACACTACCAGTCAAAAGGTTTTGATCAGTAAGATTTTTATTGTTTTTTTTAAAGTCTCTTCTGCTCACCAAAAAATAAATATATTTGGATGAAATAAAGCACGTTATTTGATCCAAAATACAGCAAAAACAGCAATATTGTGAAATAT